GCCTCCTGGGCATGCACCCTCCAGGCCTGGTCCTTTAGCAGGGGAGGCAACAGTCTAACATCTGCCTCCTGGGCCTCCAACACTGTGGAGCTTCGTGAAGGAGGAAGAGGAAGAGTAGGAGGAAGGGGAGACAGGGGGAGTGCTACTTCCAGAGGAGGACAGGGAAGATGAAGTGTCGAGAGGAGAGGAGGCTGTGAGGGAGGGAGTGATGGAAAAAGAGAGAGTATTGAGGAAAACAGGAAATCTAAATAAGGGATGATACGCAAAACAGACAAAGGGGAGACTAAGGAATGTGGACTAGGATCTAAAACCTGCTGCAATAAATAATAAAATAAAAACAAATGAAGGAAGATACACAACTGCTTGCACAATAGTCAACAGATGTGACTCATCTTAAATAATAATTCTCTAATAATTCTCTAAAACGAAAGGCTTCATTAAAAAAAACCCAAAAAAACTTCAGATTGTTTCCAGGGCTGTTTTAGAAAAAGAAAAAGTGATGATTGATATTATCATGCATCGAGTCATTCTGAACATATTTATGTTGTCAACAGATCACATAAGGGAAATGACTAGTAAAAAGGTTAATACACAGGAGCATCAGCGTTGTATTCATGTAAGAACGTCGACTTCACAGGGAGGGAAAAATAAAATACAGAGAAACAACACTGTCATTCACGACAACGCTACACGAGACAGTGGCTTGATTTATTCCAGCCTTTTTTTTAATATGCAAGTCGTCGCTTGTCCACTTGGTTCTCTTCTTTTCCGACCTTCAAACCGTACACTGCCACCTCACTGGGTGAGATTAAGGCCCACATACCGGGTGCTGCAGATGGCAACACTGTACAACAAAGCCAGGCTATAAACTGCAGAGCAAATCTTCCCTGAGAAATTACTGTAATATTGAAGCATTTAGCCAAGTCCAATATCCTACACATTGCTTCAGGAAAAAAAGTGAAAGCTTCAAGAGATTATATTTCCACCAGGCTGTACCATAAAAAAAAAAAAAAAAAAAAAGGACTCCAATTTGGAAAACATTAAAGTATCTTACCAATTTGGTAAACAATGTTTCCAATTTGGAATTTAACAAAATAGCTTTTCTCGCTGGACTAAGCCGAGAGGGTGCAGCTTCTGTGAATACAGTTTTTGTTTATCATCATAGGAACTAAATCATACAGCAGGAGTTACATCTCTACAGGCAAGTGGGACACCTGACTTCAGCCTTGTAAGAAGTAGTAAGAAGATGCAGCAAGAGCGTGACCGCCCCCCCCCCCCCCCCTATAAAATAGTCTCTCTACTAAGGGGAACAAAAGCAGATCAAAAGGCTTCTCGCCATCAGCAAAGTTCATCTGCATCAGCAAACTGGATGGGCTGAGATACGCAGTCCACATCGAAGGGTTTCTCCTGGGATGGGCTGTCGTCTCCAGAACAGTGAGAGGGGATCAGACCATTGCCACACTCCGGCTCAGTCTCATAGCCAGTGTCACGGAGTGCCCGGAGGTTTTGAGTGGTTTGGCTGCCATTCTGCGTAGGCTGCTCAGTCATGTTAATTTTGTCAGTAGCAGATGCTTCCATTAGTCCTGCTTCACAGGCCCGGTACTCGGGCTGATGGGCGCTCTTGTGACTGCCCAACAGAGCAGCTCGCAGCCGCAGGCAGGGAGCCGGAAGATACTGCATGTAGCAGTTGTACACCAATGCAGCCAGGAAGAGCAGGAAAAACAGGAGGAAGAGGAAGAGGAGGGCAATGCTGTTGTTTTGCTGCAAATATTCAGCCGCTGGGTCCCGGCTGTCTGGGCGGGGAGCGTTGGAGCTCGGGGGAAGATGCTGCTGGAACTTGATTGTGCTGCTGGGAGGCGGGGTTAGTGATGAGTCAGTTTGGGGTGGGGAGGTGAACTGGACTATAGCTGTGAAGCTGGGAGAGGCAAAGGCCGAAGTTAGTGTGGCTCTGTCTGTCTTACCATTACCTTCAGCTGCATGCGTGCCAGATGTTTCCTGGGTGCCGAGGGTGGTGGTCACGTGGCCTGCCTGTTGTGGGGGTCTGGGCGGGAGATCCAGAGTCAGGACGTATGCAGCCAGGAGGCGGCTGAAGTTCTTTCCAGCAGCTGGCGCCCATTCCACTGACCAGCACTCATAGTGACCTTGATCCTCTGGAGCCACGCTGTAAATAAGGAGACCATTTTCGCCTATGAGGTGGAAGCGAGAAGCCTCAGTGAGCGCCGAGCCGTTGGATTTCCACATCACCTGGGCTAGGTTGGACTTCACCAGACAAGGCAGCTCAGCAGAGCTTCCTGGTTTCACTTTCACACTGTGGTAGTCCTTCAGAGACCGACCCGACACTGAGACACAAACAGAGAGAATAAAATAATGACTTTTGGGCAGTTAAAGTCTAGCCTAGTGAGAGGTTTGTAGTGTATCCTGCTCAAAACAGATGTCCAGTTGAGCACAATCATACATGATGCATCCTTGAGTATGAAAACAGCATTTAAGTTATGTTACAGGATAATGGTATTCAGTATCCATGTTGAATGTTGTGTCAGGACGGGGGTGAGCGCAGATATTCGCCACTTTTTACTCTCACTTCTATGTAATAAAGCTTCTTTACCTATGTGAGCATGTTTCATCCTACCTGAAGGACACTTGTCTGCATCACCATTCAGGCTCTGGATTAGCTTCCTGAAAAAAAACAAAACAAGCAAGCATTGTTTTCACGACAATCGAAAGTATGCAGTCACTCTGAAATGAAGACATATCCAGTCTGAGACAGTATAGCAGGTCAAACTGGATGGAGCATCAGTAAAGTCTCTCGATGGTGGTTTTGTTTTTGTTAACCAGTCTTTTAATGTATGAGCCAAGTATCGGCATCTAGAAAAAAAAACTGATAAAAACAATAGAGCGAATGTTGCAAATCTAGCTTGATGGTGAGTCACCTATGCCGCTGGCTTGGAGCCTCAAAGATATTGACACAGGCAGCCGTGTGAGGGTCCCAGGCGCAGTACGGGTCTCTAGTCAAGACACAGTCGTCGCAGGACTGATACCTGCCACAGAAGGCTGTGGGCGACTGGACTACACCCGAGTCTGAACCAGCATACAGGGATCTTGTCTGTGGAAGCACAAGGTTGTTCATGTAAATATGCCATAGAAAGAGTGCACAAACTTTCACGTGACAACCATTTAGAAATACAATTTATTGAACTTAAATACGTTAAAATGTCGCAAAAATTAACCCTTTAATGCCTACAAACCACTTTTTAAAAACTCAAATCAGTAAAATGTCTGTCATAATTTATAAGTTGTAATGCAGATTCCAGCAAACAAACTAAGTTTTTGGTTTTGCTCTTAACTGTGATGCCATCTTCTTGGTAACTTCTTATTGTGAGCTTTTTCACATCAGAAAAACACGCAAAAACACTTTATAAGGCTACGGACCGTAGTATACCCACATGCACACACTGCCCGTCTAGGTGTTAAGTAAAACATCTAACTCTTCTTCCACAGTTGTCTCTTTGTACAGTTACAAATGTTGCAGTGAAGTCACTGACCTCTGAGGACAGCAGTAAGTTCTTGATGGACTCAGAGTTCTTCAGGAGCTGAATCTCCTCCACAATATGGACATCCCCTTCAAACACCACTGACTTGTGCAGCACTCCCTTATCTAGAGATGAGAATGGTAAAATGTCAATCATTCAGCAGAGGCGGAAGCCAGTAAAAAAAGAAAAAGATTACAATGAGAGATGTTCTGAATGATCAGTACACAGAGCTGGTTAAGGCATATTTCAACTGACCCATTGTCTACTACTAAAAAAAAAATATATAGAATAGCTGTGATGCCGGGACTAATAAACTTGATAGGACATCCTTATTTGTAAGTTTCAATTTCAAATGTGTTATTAAGTGTTAAGTGATGTGTTCTTACCAGTTCCAGTGAAGATGACATCATAGATGTTGTTATTGAGTGCACGGACCCTCTCCACAACTATCTGAGTGTAGTTGACATCTTTGGTAATGAGGCGAGGCCCGTTGCCGATGGGCAGGACGGGATCCTCCAGCAGGGGGTGGTCCTTAACAAACTGAAGGGTCTTGTCTGGCAGGTGGAGAGAGCTGCTAATGTTCTGCCGTCGCATCAGGTTGTTAATACACTGGTGGAGGAAAAAAAAGGTAGATGTTATTCTGTCATTAAAAAAAAAAAAACGGAGTCAAGATTTCCCCCCCCTTCCTCGAGGTCTGTATTAGAATGACTAACTACAGCATTTCCCAACCCTGGACTAGCATAACTTAGCTAAGGCTTAATTATTCGAGATGTGTTAAAGGTACTTACTGCTCCAGGACGTGGAGAAGGAGTGATGCCGTTATACCGGACCCACTTGGTGTGAGACTGCTCCACTGTGGCCTTCTGCATGTACTTGCCCTTGGAGAAGACCTCTTCCACAGCTGTCATGTTGTAAGCACACACTGCTGACAAACCCACATTACCCCTGGGGGACGAGGATGGAGTGAGTTTAACGTACTGCATTATATTGCAATATCCTGCTTTTTTCTTTTTCTGACCCCTACTGATCCCCTACTCAAGATCAAATAACTGACCACTGCGAGGTGAAGACCCCGTAGATAACGGTGTCCCTCCAGTCTGCCCCCTTCAGGATGAAGACATCATGAACTACGTTAAAGACAAAGTTGAGCTCAGGCACGGAGCACACCAGCTTGGCTTTCAGGAAGGAGGTCCATTTCTTCTGCAGAGTGCGCTGCCCCCCGAGGTCACCCTGTGGGAGAGAGGTTTGTCAGCATATTAGGCGGTGTGGGGAGAGGCAGTCGAAAGAGGCTGAAAGCAATCTCCACTTTTAATGTTTCATGTTGATTTTCTTGCCAAAGTCTCTTAACATTGTTCGCTTACTGTCCCACCACAATAGTCCAGAATAGATTAGATGAATGTTAACAAAAATGGTTGATAAACTCATCTAAGCCGCCTTTATTTATCACCCTTCTCTCAAAGCAAAGCACTGCGCCTCCCCCAAAACTCTTTGGAGCCCACCTAGAGAGGCCCGCCTCCCACTTTGAAAACCTCTGTATTAGTACTGACAATAAAGAGGGTAATATAGCATTTGTATTTTTAAAATTAAATAATCAAAAAAAAAAAAAAAAATTTTATCATGATTTTATGAAAAGACCTACATATTTACTTTTTTATGTCATTGTGCCCTCCCCCCCACCACTCCTGAAATCAGACCTACGCCCTTGAGTGTGTGTACAGTTTAATGTAAATGTAGTTTTAATGTAAAGAAATTAACTTGTGTCCTGTTTAGATTATGCTTCTGGCTTTTTCAGGAAACATGTTAAAGTTTATGATGGAGCCATTATATCATGGTTTTGGACATCAGTGGTAATACGGGATGGGAACCAGCAAACGTCAGACATTTGGAACAGACTTGCTAGTATGCCTGAACAGCTGCTTACTGTAAACATCTTTTAGAGTGACATCTTTATTTTGTTTGTTTATTTGTTTATTTTTCAAAACAGGAGCAATAATTATAATGCACAAGGAAACAGTAGTTGTTTCTTATTCATTACGTTTGTACCAAACATTAACTGTGTGTAGAGCCTTATCTGAGGCAGAATTTCACTGAAAGTCAAAGACCTGTGTGCACAGTTATGTTTAGAAACAGGCAGACAAAATGCTCCGATTATTATGTGATTTAGGAGACTGAAAAAAAATCCTTTTCATGTTTTAATGCCATATAATTAAAGAACGACTCAACGGCTTCACTTTTTAGTCAAATGGCCCTTCATTTGTGGTTTTAGTTGAAGGATTATAAAAAAACCTCAGTTACGTTTTAAGGAAGGGAATCTTTTATTGTGGCAATTTCATTTGTAGACTTTGGAACAGGAAACAAATATTTCACTGTTGCAACAGTATTTTTGGTGTCTTTGAAGTGCAGTATGTGCATGACGCAATAAATACCATACCTGACTAACTGTACTTGATTTGTACAGTGATGCGAGCTCAGGTCAGATTAAGAAAAGAGATACTGGAAGATAATGGAAGGAGGAAGACAGAGGGATTGTAGTACGCTACTGGTATGTGCAGATGGTGTATGACGTGTACTGACCTTACAGACACGTGCCACCCTGGGGATGAGCAGCTTGCCAAAGAATTCGTACTCCACTGACACCTCAGTGAAGAAGTAGTAGATTTTATCATCCTCACCATCTACTCGGTTTCGCTCTTCTCCCCTGATCACGTCGGCAAAAACAAAACTGGGCTCTGCAAGGAAAGCAGAGAGGGGAGAGAGAGAAAGGTAGTAGTAAAAAGAAGACTGGGACAAATGATTCAAAAGATGTTAAGTTTAATTTATTTATTTATATGACTGGGTAATTCAACTCCTGAAACTGATGTGACACAGTCCGCTAGAGAGAAGATGTGTCACTCTGTTAGAACTACAGAAACCCTCAGTCCACCTGCAGTTCTATGGTGGTGTGCACTATATTGTCTCAACTCACCATTGAGCCATGATGTGGAGTACTCTGTTCTCAGCAGGGACTGGGATGCAGAGTATCTGGAAATAATTGGTTCACTCCCTAAGAAGTTATAAGCTGTCCCCGAGTACAGCTCTCCATCTGATTGAAAAGCAGGGAATAAAACAAACCAAAAAAAGCAATTCATTGTCCAGTGAGTCCATTTTACCTCCCAACAGATTATTGAGGATTATTATGCATTTTACCAACCAAAACAGCTCTGAAATGCCATAAAATTGGCCTCAACTCACCAACCATGACAGTAGTGAAGCTTTGTGCGGGGTCGAAGGAGCACTTTCCCCTGCCATCTTCAGGTTGACTGTCCAACGAGAAGTCAGCGAGGTTCTGAAAGGAGTTTAAGATTCAATTTCAGTTAAAAACAAAAAGGTTGCTGCGATGATTGGTGAGCCCAATCACATTTATTTGTGCGGTGTGATGTTCGCAGTTAAGGGGGGATTAAGTATTAACCTACCAAGTGGTCACACTGAGGTTGAAAAGCGTGTGTGCCGCAGACATAGAGCCGTTCATCATCTACGAATTGGAGCACTCGAATGTAGTTTAGACAGTCCCGCTGGAAAGCAACATTCAATAAGCTAATTACAATAAACAGATTTTTTTAAAGCAGATGGTTCATTTATAACACTAGAAAAATTACTGATTCTGATCCCATATAGATTAAGACAGATAAAACATCAATATATGAATTATTGAACTAACCTCTAATGATTTTCCTTTAATCTTGCACATATGCGCGGGTACTTCCGAAACTGGCCACATAACCTTGTTTAATCGAAAGAATATCATAATTAAAATTTAAAAGTAGTTTACAAAATGTACAAGTTTATTTTCCTCCCTTTGTCACAAATCTTATTAACATTTTCATACCTGGTTGTGTCGGACTGTGACATTCGTCTTGCTGAGCTCAAAAATGGCCTCCCTGGCTCCTACATACAGTGCATCCTTTTTATCGCTCAGCAGCAACGTGGTGTAGTTGAAGATCTCAGGCTCCGAAAACTCCATCAGATCTAAATCTGAGCACAAAACCATTGGATCACATTACTTAGCCATCCAAAAACACCACAAACTAAACATGCTAAGTTTTACTTGTCAACGGGTGTATTAAACATTGAGAATTCAAATTAAAGTTGCAATAATAAATATTTCATTTTCATGTTTATGTGGCTTTTGACTGATTATGACGACTCTCCAGTTTCCCTCAGCTCCATAGAGTGTGTGCGTTTTAAAGTTTTTCAGCTCATTGTTTTGGTTTTACGGCCCGGGACTGTTTTACTGTGTTAGTTCACTCTCATCAATGTTGTTTTCACTCGCAGCAGGCGGTTGTTTTCAGCAGAAAAAAAAGCTCAGATAAACACACTGAACACTACCTGCTACCAGCAGACAGACACAGTAAATGACTGGCTGGTGAAAATAGTGGAGTGAGTCAGATATTTTTCTCAGGAGATAAAAGAGACCAAAGCAGAGCTAAAACGAAAGTGAAAATTGGACTTGCATTAATCCAAAATATGGCTCAAAATGAATGCTAATGTTGTTCCATGTATGCTGATGTGTAAATAAGGGCCATTTTGATAAGTTCATTATAACAACTTTAACTCTAATATAATATTTCAGTATTGTGTTTACAGCTTGTTTGTTTAAAGTTGTACCTTGAGTTCATCGGGAGTAAATATCGTTAATGTCTTACTCACTTACTGCAAGACTGTGGAGGCTGAACCGCCAAACATGTTGTGTTTCAGACATGTTTCTGCTTTTTTAAATGAGACACATTAGCATTGTGTTGAGTGCCTCTCTTGTTATACTGTGTGCTGTGATTGATGGCAAACCTATTGGAGAGTTTGCCTCTGGCTGACTTTGGTTGTGCCAGGTGCAAGTAGGTTCGGGTTGCAGGTGCCTGGACATAAACACCACAGTGATGAAAGCAAATACTCTCACTGACGGACTGAAACAGTGACTGTGTCACAGTGAGTGGAGAAACTCGACTTTGTTAAAGGGTAAGCAGTGCTGGTTCTCACAGGCCGACTGAGTTACTGGAGCTATTTATGTAAACAGCAGTATGCAAACCTGACAGGAACTTGACAGCCTGTGGTGAGACCTTCTTTTATAGGGTCTGTGGGTGAAACTGAGTGCAGTCCCTTGAGATAAATTAAACAGGTGTCACTCAACTATCTATTGTGAACCTTGAGTTGAAAACAGAGTTTTTAATATATTTTAAAGATCCATCTATACAGTATGAAGGCTCAGATCTCATGGCTCGTGGAGCAACTGAATTTTACATGTTTTAAGCATAAATACCAACTTAGACAAACGAGCACGTCAGCAGGGTGGTTTCAAAAGAACATTTACCAGAAATGAGGATGGAGTTCACTGTAAAAAGGATACAAGCGGAAAAGGGAAAAGGATGTTGCTAAAAAAAAAAACTTTTATAATAACTAATATATTAAATATTTGATTAGATGATAGATTTATAAAATACTTGATGAAAACAGAACAACAAATGCCAATTTGAAATTACCAAAGCCAAAATGTCTTATTGTATTGATATCTTTTATGTATTAATAGTAGTAGTACGGTCTAAAATGTACTATTATCAGCAAATGATTTTACATAATGAATGATTAGTTATCACAACTGCAAACAGTTTTTCTGTCAATCACGTAATACCTCAACAACCAATTCTTTAAATCACTCAGAAATATTACATTAGTCAGGCTTTACCTTGGTGTCTCCAGGAGGTTCTAGGCACAGCATGGGGTCCATGGGTGGAAACCTCCAGGAGCAGCCCCAGAAACACTCCCAGCACGCCAAATCCCATATTAGGCTCAGATAACTTCGGAACTGTGAAGTTTCCTCTGCAAGAAAAACAGTAAAGCAATACCTGATGCACCAAAATTATGTTTTTTTTAATGCAGAAAGGGAAGAGTTCCTCAGAGGCTGATTGTATCATGCAGCACAGACGCTAAAAGGGGACAGGCATCAAATCCACTTCCCTCATTCTGAAAGCTGGCAGGAGAGATTCATCCTCTTTTGTATCGCTTAAGAGGTTAGTACAGCACGTAACATGCATTTGAATAAAATACACAATATTTTGGACAGAAACTGCACAGTGAAAAAAAAACACAAAAACACAACCTCTCTTACAATTAAATCACATGTGAAATACAGAAAATACTTCTCATGTGAAAACACATAAAATAATGTTTTTAAAGTTCTGATCACTTGAGCTGCAACATTAAATAAATGTTCAGTCCATTGACTGATAAATATCAGTCAATGGACTGAACAAAAGTGTGCTTTAATAATTTAAAAGTGATGTTCATGTCCCAATTCCAGATTAGATAGAAAAGCTGCACCTATAAATCAGGAACTACTGCTACTCATGTCCTTTCTCCTTCATGTTTATGAATCAGTAGTCGTATTGTTTAACACAATGCAATATAAAAGGAAGTAAATTCTCACTAGTGTTCAGAAACAACTCCTGTCATTTGCAGTTTTTATACTTTCATGCCAAGGGACATCTAAAGGCAGTCTTGTAAATGACTGGTCGCTTTTGGAACTGTTTCAGAAGTGCGGGGTTACAGAGCAGGTATAACAGTATGTGTAGTTCCATGTGAATGATGAATCAGAGAGGGGGCTGTGAGGAGGACAGAGAGGTAGGGGTGCAGCATGTGATGGGGTCTTGAACTAACATTACTTACAGTGGCAGAAAAACACCTGCTCTTGTTTGTAATACTTACAATAACCACACACACACACACACACACACACACAGAGTTGGCCTGACACAGTAGCATGCACATGAACGCGTGCAAATTTAATCTTTATTAACAGGGCAGTTAATGTGGTGCGTGTCTTATGACCATGGTATGGCACTTGAGTTCATTGTTGGTATATATGCGTCATGCAACAAATTAACACCTCAAGCATAGGAAAATCCCGTTTTTTTATTGAAAACTGGTTATTCTGCACTGCACTATTGTTGAGACACGGCCATAGGTGTATCTGTTTACGCCGCATGATGATAACGATAATGACACAAATTCCTGGTAGCTATCAGCTTTTATCAGACGTGGGTGTCGTTTTCCATTTGCCAATTTGTGGAACATTGTGATCTCTCTGCCTTTCAACAGCTCTCTCTTGGTGCATTCACTTCAGGATGTGCCCGATAAGGACTCCATTAGGCGGATCTGTGCCATTTGTGCAAGTGTATAACTTGTCCAGACCCACCTCAGGAGGTTCATGTTGTCATATTCAATAAAAGCTTAAGTTGTCTTATTTAATGTCTGGTTTATTTCTTTAGCACTCAGTGGTGGTAAACAATACTCTCTTTAGCAATGGCCTTACTCAGTGATGAAATGGTAACATAGAAAACAATGTCACAACATGGTTTTATCTTGAAATGCTGTGTATATCATTTTGGAATGTCTCAAACATAGAAGATTCAGTTACTATAATTTTGTTGGGACTTATTTTTGTTTAAAATGGTATCTTCTTCATTGAACAAACCGTATTGAAAGTGGCCTGTTTTAGGTCAACAGAGAAGCTGGGGGGGGGGGGGGGGGGGGGGGGGGATCATGCTTTAAAGCTTAAATATTAAAATAAATCTCTAAATCTGTTCTCAATCCTGCTTGTAATACATTTGACAAATTTACTGTAATGCAAGGTCATGCGCACAATAATCTTAACTGTCTACCAAATTCAATTGTAAGGTTCAAGTGCTTCCTTTCTCTTGATCCAATCGGGAAAGGAGCAGTGTGGGCAAACCTCCAGCTCCGTAGCCCTGGCCATTCTCTCGTTTCACACAGATGAAGTTGCCTTTTACAATAATGACCCTGGCTTGCTGAGGGAGCCCTGTGGAGCCTGCATACATGTGTGTTTAGGGAAGGCCAGTGTTGTTTTAATAAGCAGAAGGCAGGTTGGTCTGGCTGGTCAGGTGCCTGGGTGCAATGTCTCTAAGTAAGTAAAATGATCCAGCAGAAAGCAGGTTGTTCGGGTTTTCCACAACGTGCTCAAAAGAAGCTGACGTACCTGCAGGACCTACACAAAATGGGTGGGCCCGTCACACGAAGAAGGGGATTAAAAGGTTATGGTAGATGTCTTGTAAGATGAGGTCTGACGTAACAAAAACTTGTCTCTCACAGGAACCAACAAGCAGTCTCACCATGTCCCAGTAAGATGGGTTTAATTAGCATTCAAGCTACTGATAGTAGTTCATAGCGTTCACTCAGCTTACAATCAAGTGGCTGTAGGAAGTAATGAATAAAAATTATATACATTTGTTATAAGATCTAAAAAAAACTATACTACCCATTTGTCCTCATTTTAGATTTTATAACCAAAATTAGAGAACAAATGACAAATAAATCATTGTCAACCACTTTTTGAATGACCTAGTAACACCATTGTGGCTCATTCCACTCAAATATAGGTTAGTAAATCAGTCACCCAAACGAGGGGGAGATCTATCATGCGGCACAGCACGTATAAACAATCAATGAGGGCCACCACAGCTAAAGAAAAAGGAAGAGAATGATAATTGGTTATTGATGTGGTTGTAAATAAGAACAAATGGCCCCAGAGGCATGACCTTCCTGATACTGGGATTGTTCATTTTTTTTGTGAGTGTTTTCACCAACTAAATCTGGCAAAGATGGAATTCCATCCCGGCTTCAGCCCTAGCCATGGACTCCACTCTGCTTAAGAGGGGGTCAAATACACAAGGACCTATTGTTTGCTGAAGATGAGGGTAGCCTCCACTCCACCCCCATCACATCCACATCATCACTGCAGAGTATTCAACAATGAACAGAGAGCGACAGAGAATGGAGAGAGGACAGAACGAAGGAGAGAGAAAGGCATCATGTCTCCCTCACATCCAGTTCTTTTACATCCTTGCCAATCTAAATGCCAGGACAGCTTAGCCCCGAGCCAAGCCAGTGTTTTCAAAGATCACACAAGCCCATGAGATCCGGAGGCATTCCCCAAAAACGCTCCATAAACTATCTAATGATGGCAGCAGAAACTGTTATTATTTAACGGAGACAGACTGAAAGAAAGAGTGACGTAGGCACAGTGTGAGTGGATGAGATAACAATACTGAATCAATGACGAAAACCCCGGACAGACAAAATACCTCTCCGTTTTCTGTCCTAAGTGAAATCCTCTAGTGGCACACTGCATAAATAAAAGTTTCAAACTACCCTCATTCCTCTATCTGTGCACTCCTGATGCCCTCTATCAATCTTATCACTCTGAACTGAAACCCATTTAGGGCAAAGCTTTAAAAAAAAAGCTTCATACCCCTTTGAGCCAGTGTTACAGTAGCAGAAAGAGCACACTGGCAGCTACCGTATGCTGCTGAGAGATTTAGAGGAGTGGCCATACTGGCCTGGGATATTTAAGACGGTTACCATGCTGGCAGGTCTCTTTGAGCCTTTTGTGTTTCCCTCTCAGCGCCTTTGGCTGGGCAGGGAGGTTGACACCTGCTTGGGGCCTTGGGGTTCCCAGCACTCTGCTGTTAACTGGGCAGAGATACTGGCAGGCTGCCCACTGAGGACAGGGGACAGAGAGGGGGAAACTGGAGCTCTGCCTATCTGTGCATAAGCACTTTGAATGAAAATAAATCAAATATATCTGAAAAGTGCTTTTATGTCTTTATGCAACACAAACAAATAGTTAGGGGTGTGCCAACCATTTCATTTTGATTGACTGTAATAAATCACTGTATAACCAGATTTAACCACTGGGTGGGGGTTCATAGCTATGCACCTTTTGATTATTGTTTTTCCCTTCGGCGCACACTATTTGCTAATCAAGCAAGACTGCAATGACTGCTGAATTACCAAGGCAGCCTATAACTACTACACTCTTCCCTAATTAGTACTTTTCTGTAAAAAGCCAGTTTAAATGGTAAAGAAGAAAGTTTGTTTGCACTTCTTAGACAAGACAGAGCAGTGTCCTTGTAAATTACAAATGATAAGAGATACAGAATGGCGTCTTCACAGCAACAATGTTTGTTTAAGGCCAACGTGTGTACAAGACAAATCTTTTGATTCCAGGTGTTGGAAATATCAAAGACAGCAAGCTGACAGTTATCCTGAGTTGTATAATCCACCCAGTCATGTTCATTACTGTAAATGAGGGGGGCCTGGTGGAAAATATACAACAGTACATTTTGTTTAAGAATTATCAAAGTATATGTTGTAAGAAACTGGTGCAGAACTATCCAACGAAGGTTAAAATGAAGGGCAACTGGACTTGGTGCAGAACTGCTCTTCTTTGTCTGTTTGATCAGTTCTTTTTACATTCCCACCTGGGTGTGACTGACCCATCTACATGTATATTTTCCCACCTTATAGAAAAACACTGAAGTAAACGCCTAATCGGTGTTGTCTCCTAGGCTGAGTCAGCCAGACCCTAACGCATCTCATGATCAATTTAAATTAAGTAACTGTATTGTATTAAATAGTCATTGCCTATACCAGACCTGTTTATTAAACTCAGGTACCAATCTGGTGTATCAGATCGGTCCCTAATGCATACTCCACACGCAGAGTTGGTGCATGTTGATACAGCAAACATCTAAACTGTTCAGTGAACACATTACTGGCCATGTGTACATAATAAACATGGACTACAAAACCACACAATCACATTTTTAAAAGGGAAGCATGACAAAAGTTTGCTTTGCATCATACCTGTGGGTACTTTAGTGTAAAAGCTTTATTCGCACTTCTTATGCCATACCTATGATGTCTACGTGCGCTGAACCAATAGCTACACCATAGTGCATAGAACTTCACTAAATATAATTGAAGCCTGATCACGTACAGAGCATTCATTTAGGCTTTCC